AACTTACCGTCTCCTGGCAAATGGTTTAAATTCACTCAGCTTTCGTGCCTAAGGCAGGACTAGTACTCACCATTTCCAAGATTTCAGAAGACGTTGCTAACAATTCTTATTGGAAAGCCAATGAAATGAGCAGTGTGCCATAAGGAGAGCACAAAATTGCATTTTGTTTCGTAAAGTTGGGGAAGTGAGATGGAACAGCTAAACAGAAAGGCTAACTCAACATTCAGTCCTGCTATATTGTTCCACCTACTTTCCTCTTTTTGAAATCTCATGCTCTAAGCCAGTGGTCACCAAGTGGTGGTCCGTGGTGGTCGGCAGAAAAATTATTTGCATTTTTTATTATTGCACTAAATACTATTTATCTTTTTAAAAAATTAATATTAGTGATCCATGAGATTTAAAATTATGAATTTAGTGATCCCTGAGGTCTGAAAGGTTGGTGACCCCTGCCAATATGCCAGGGGTATATTGATGATAATGATAAAATGATAAATGATAAAATGTGCCCTTTTTTGATGCTTATCGTTGATCTTCAGGGATTAAGATCAACGATAAGCATCAAAAAAGGGCACATTTTATCATTTGTGGTGGACTTGTTTCAAAGCAATAACATTTTGGGCAAAGATACACAGGTGGTTAGAAAAGATGATAGGAAAACATGTAGATTTTAAACCTGAATTGTTTTTATTAGGTATAATATCAGAAAAACCCGATAAGAAATGTATTTAATATTACATGTCTTAACAGCAGCAAGGATTATTTTTGCATGATAGTGGAAAAATGAAGATATACCACAAGATGAAGGTACTAGTCAAGAAGATTCCACATTGTGCAGAAATTGATAGATTGACATCGAAAATTAAACAGAAAGAGGAGGTAGAATATTATCAAACATGGAATTTATTTTACCAATGGTTGGAAAAAACGGGTGGAGTTTAAGAATGTAATTTGTATTGTTAAGAAAATCATTTTTTTTAAAAAAAAAAGACCAATGATAAGCAAATTAGCTGTGGACCATCATTGTACAGCAAAGAGCATGGACCTGAATTCTTAAAAAGCTTGAACTCAGGATGATAGATAGTCCTTGACGTACGTCCATTTGTTTAATGACTGTTCAAAGTTATGATGGCACTGAATAAAGTTACTTATAATCTGTCCTAGCACTTTTGACCATTGCATTATCCCCATAGTCACAGGATCGAGATTTGAATACTTGTCAACTGGCATGTATTTATCACCTGATTGCTGTTTGCAACATTCCCAGGGTGTTGGGAGCAACAAGCAAAGACAATGGGAGAAACTGCTTTTGCTTAACAGCTGTGTGATTCTCTCAATGACTAGTAGAAAAGGTCGTATAATCTCTAGTGGATGGCAAGTCTCAACCTATAGTAGAGAAACTCCTTCTAGTGTGTGATTAAATCATGCTCCCCTTTTAAATTTCACATCGAAGTAAGAAAGTATGATAGCATTGAAATAGCGTAGTGAACTGTATAAAGAGCAGAAATATAATCAGACAGCTCTTGGCATTTCTAAGCAGTCTTTCTAAAACAGTTCCCAGTTAGAAGAACTCAAGTGCTAGGACCTGATGCTGTATCACTTAATCCAGAACAACAAAACAACATTGGATGCCAAAACACCATAAAAAGAAAGTGTACTGTACCTTTAAAACAAACTGTGCAAATCACCTTGCCTGGCTGGGAAAAAAAATGTAGGAATTATCCCACACAAACATGTAGGACCCCAGGTTGGAGAATAAACTTCAGAACATTATAGAATGGACTTTTCTCAGGTTGGCGGGAGAGTCAAGCCTTGCAGAGAGGGACTTTAAATGAATTAATACCAGAGCTTACTGACCAGTAGGTTTCAAAACCCAGTGCTACCGGTTCACTTGTTGTTGTGTTGTTGTTGTTTTGATGACCTCTGGGAGGGTGGGCGGAGCCTCCCGCCGTCGCTACCTGTTCGTCCTGAACCGGGGTGGACCCGGAGCAACCCACCACTGTTACAGCCAATTTATACATACCAATGGTCCATAAGCTTTTCTAAAAATGGCCACTATTTTGTTGTGTCTGCTCTTGGAGTATTTTTTTTATATATATATATTTTGCTCATTGCCTGGAACAATCTGTAAAAGCTTTGCACAGATGGACTGGTTTCCCTTTAATCAGGAATGGAAGAACCAACATCTTAGTGAATTCTTTGTAAGAAGTCTAGTAGCACCTTTTCTGACTAACACATTTTATCCAAAGGCATAAGCTTCCGTGACTACTTGCGATCAAAAGGTGCAGCTCACACAAACGAACGCCTTTGAATAAAATTTGAGTTGCAAAACTATACCAGACTCCTGATTTTTTTCTACCATAGACTAACATGACCCTCTTTCTACAATGATTTCTATATGGGTCTGAAGATGCAAGCTACCGCTTAAACTGAAAGTGACATCTCTCTCAAGTATGTAATGGAAATTAAAACATATCTTGGCGTCCAACATCCGATATCTTACTTTCACTGAATTTTCAGGGGCAATTTGAAAACATGAATATTGTGTTTTGGGGGCTCTGACTGTAAATCACTAAATTATACTGTGCCACTGATTAAGAACCATTGGCATGTAACTGTTGAACATAATCAAGAATTAAGTGCTATATTTTAGTAACACTTTCCATTTTTTTCCAAATAGGCGGAGTCTTCAAATCAAAGAAGATGACTTGGAAACAACTTTTATAATAGAACATATTTTATCAAGTCTTGGAGATTTTCCAAACTTTTCCAACTCTATGTGTACCGGACAGGACTTTAGGGAGGCTTATTTTATAATGTAATCTGAATAATTTGGTAACTAATTGCTCCATGCACTTTCATTTTTTAAAATAATGACTTTCTAAAAATTCCTCTTTTTATGGTTAGTACTGGAACAAAGGAGTGTGATTTGGATCTATTTTCATGTGCCATGATAGTACAGTACATTTGAATAAAGGTTCCTTTTTTTTAAAAAAAAAGTATGATTTTATGTTAGTCATTTCATGAGATGGGAGCATCCTATGGACATTCAGCTGAACTTTATTTTTAAATGATAATTCAGCCTTCATATAATCAGGCAAAACATTTATCACAGCATTGAAAGAAAGAATATGGAAAATAGAAAGTTTATTGTTACCAGGTAGGTAACAGAAAAAAATGGATTTAATTATAATTGCATAAATTATAATTATATAAGTATAATCTTTGAAATGAATGTAATTATTTCCACACAAACATTCTGGATGGGATGTTGAAAGATTCCTTCTGCCAAATAGTTCTTGGTCCTTCCTAACTTCTCAGGATTACTAGAAACAACTCAAAAAAAGGTTCATATATAGCACAGAAATTGAGCTTGGTACTTCTTTTTTTTTCGTTTCATTCACAGCTGTTGGAACAAAAGGTCATAATACTAGATATATTGCTTCCATTTTTATTATCTTTGCAATGTTTAACCCTTCGAAAAACAAATCTAGAGATTTAAACTATTTGTTTGAATCTGCTTAAATATTCAAAGGATGCACATATTTGTCAAGAAAGTAAATGTTGACTCCTGGCTGATCTAGTTCCTCACTTTTAAGGGATCAAACAGTGTTTGAAGTACACCTTCAAATCAAATATAAATAATCCAAATGGTCAAATACTCCTCCAAAAGTATAGAGAGCAGATGAGAGTCATGGGACCAAAAAATAGCATAAATGGCATTTAGTGTAAATGCACAGCTCTGGAAAATGCAAGTCGGTGATTCTAGTTATACGCAGGCAACATTTCCTGCTATATAATTTTTCACCGTAATTTAAAGCAAGTTATCTAAAGTTCAGGAGGGTGCGCTGAGTTTCCATTTTGGAAATCAAAAGAACTTTTATCTGTGGCCATTTTTGTACAGTACATCAAGAACAAAATGTTGGCATAAGACAATCACAGACCCAATGCTGAAATGCTGTCGGGATAGGAGCCAAATTGCAGTGCCAAAGACACTACAATTGTGGGAAGCAGCCAGCCTTAGTAGCCAACAGCTTCACTTCTGGAGAAAGATGGTTTCAGGAATGAAGAGTCTGAATTAAAAAGTAGCTTCATTCCTGCCGACTCCAGGGACATGTCTGCATAGCTGACTAGGCAAAAGTTTGCCAAATATTCCAGGCTATTAGTTGCCCAGCTTGGCTGGTGCTGTGAGATTTAATGGTGGGTCTCCCACCCGACACTGTTCAGGGTCCCAAGCTCTCCAACTGAGCTTTGCAAGGTAGACTGGTGAGCAGTGTTCCTCAACCTTGGCCGCTGGACGATGTGTGGACTTCAACTCCCAGAATTCCACAGCCAGATCTGCTGGCTGGGGAATTCTGGGAGTTGAAGTCCACACATCGTCCAGCGGCCAAGGTTGAGAAACACTGCTGGTGAGGTAGGAGCGCCGCTTTGTCTAGACTGGAATCCTTGGGACGTGGGGTGGGGGAGTTGCATAAGGCGCCTTGGCTCCCGAGGCAAAACGGTTCCTTTAATCTGGCGCAATTGGGAGCGCGCAACTCCCCTTCTGCCGTTCGCGCTGGCATCCCATCAAAAGAAAAAGAACACTGGGCAAATCGCGTTGCGCGCGCATCCTCCTCCGGAGCTCCTCCCAAATTAAAGGGCGGGGCTCGCTCACTCGAGTCCCGCAACAAGGCCTTTTGTCTGTCGCCGGCCGCCGTCCCCTTCCCAGCGCCGAGAGCGCGGAGCGCCGCCGCCATCTTGTTTCCCGCGGCCGCCGCCGGAGCTGAACGATCCTGCTGACGATGGGTGAGGCGAAGGCGGCGGGAGGCTGCGCGTTGGGCCGCTTAGGGCTCCTGCTCCTCCGTCCCGGGGAGGCGGGGACTGTGGCGTTTCTTCGACCTCCGGGTGTTGCTGCTGCTCGGCAGCCGCGGCCTCCTCCGGCACGAGGATGGGCATTTCGCCCCCGTTCCGTCTCGCCCGCCCGGCTCCCTCCTCACGCGAGGCACGAGGGTCGCGCCGGCACAGACCTACGAGTCTGGCCGTGGCCTTTCTTGATAGCCTGAAGGCGGGAAATCTCGGGGCTCGCCAGGAGGGCCGCGGCGGGGGCGACGATTAATTACGTTTCTGCCTCCTCGCATCCCGGTGATTATTCAGGTGTTTTAACCCAGCGCGCCCCAGAATTGTTTAATGGGGTCCATAATGACGCCTTCCTTCGCCCAAATCGCCCCCCAAACGGTCGTTCTCCGCGAGCGTCTCTGCATCCCGATCCTCTCGACTCACCGGGGAAAGCCGTTACAGGTAGTCCTCGACTTACGACCACAACGGGGGGGGGCTTTTTTTTTTTTTGTTGTGAGACATTATTGGTTAGGTGAGTTTTTGCCCCGATTTACGACCTTCCTTGCCACAGTTTAAGCGAACCCGCCGCAGTTGGTTAAGTTAGTAACCTGGCTGTTAAGTTGAATTTGGCTTCCCCATTGACTTTGCTTGCTGTCAGAAGGTTGCAAAAGGGGCGCAGGCCACGGTCATAAGTACGAAGCAGTGGCCGAGCGTCTGGATTTTGATCACATGATCGTGGGGATGCTATAAAGGTCGTAACCAAAAAACAGTCGTAAGTCACTTTTCTTAGTGCCATTGTAACTTTGAACGGTCACTAAATGAAACTGTTGTAAGTCAAGGACTACCTGTACAAATGGCTCCATTACCCCAGGATGTGCTCCAGCCACCCTCTAGGGCAGTTTTTCCCAACCTTGGGAACTTTTAAGATGTGTGGACTTCAACTCCCAGAATTCCCCAGCCAGTTCCCAAGGTTGGGAAAAACTGCTCTAGGGAGTTACTACTCCAGGTTTAAGGCTGTCTGCTCTATCCCGTGGTGCTTTGAGGGGCATCTTCGCTTGACAGTTCATTCCCTTCCTCCTCTATTTAACTGTGGACACTCTAAGGCTGTGTTCTTCAAACTTGGCCACTTTTAAGAGAAGTGAACTTCAACTCCCAGAATTCTCCAGCCAATTCATGTGTGGGGGATTCTGGGACTTGGAAGTACACACCTCAAGTTTGAAAAACACTGCTGTAAATGCTGCTGTATTGTGTGGATTCTTTTACACTGTTGGGGGAAGGGGGGGTTATTCCTGATTCTGTGAAATGGAGATAAAAGTGTTTTGGAATGAATGATTATAAATAGTTTGGGTCTGTTTTGCACCCCATTTTCCCCCAAGATAGGAGTTTTTTCTCCCGTTCAGAATTTTATATATATATAAAACAGGCTACATGAGAGCAAGTGGCCCCAGGAAAATGAGATATTTAGAAACCAGTTTTGAATGTTTAAATGTAGCAGTGCTATTTTTAGACCCATGTGCAAATATTCCCGAAGTGATAAAATATTCAAAAATTGTAACAGGATTACTCAAAATCAGTGCACAGATTTAGTTGCATCATTAGGGTATGTATGTATCTGTGTGAAGCAACTCTAGGACTGTTTATAAGTAGAACTCATTGCAGCTTCCCACAATTTGGTACTCTTAGCACATTATTAGACAATAGTTCCCATTTTTCCTAGCCAGCCATTGAAGCGGGAGATCATCAGGTTAAGAAATGGCAAATGGATATGTGAAACATGCTACTGTAATATAATGAATAAAAGTGAAATTAGCTTCATGAAATCTATAGTTTTAACTTTGAGCCTGATGTATCTGCAGTTTAGGAAGAATTTTATCATGTTCCAGTCATCATTCTTGTACAGATTGCTAAGATGTTTATGTTATGTGTAGATTTGATATTTGTGCACCAACCCCTCATATGAGATGCTTTTCTTGAAATGATAAACCTATTCAGAGCTTTCCAGATATTCTAGGAATTGTTATAACAATGGAGGCCTAACATTTTCATTTCCAGTTCATAGAATCAAAGAAAACATTTGAGGAGCAGGGCTGCCCTCTGATTGCCAGGGGTTATGGCAGGGGGAAGAAGGGGACCTAACCGGACATCCTACTGCCGCAATCCTCTCTGTGAAACTGGAGCTCCTGGTGGTGCCAGCCACTCCACAACTTCTTCAGTCACTAGTGTGCGTTCACGTACCAGGTACAGCTGTGCTACAGACAGTTCTATGAAATCCAGAGGCCCAGTAAGAAGTCCCATTTAAACACTTCGCTTTGTTGGGAAATAAGAGTATGGGGCAAGACCTTGACAATGTGTAGATGTGAGCTTATAATGATTGTAAATCCTGCCTAATTTACATAATACTTGACTAAGAATTATTACACTCTCGATACTATAGTTTAAGAGAAGTTGTCCCAGGGTGATTTGCAATAAAACATTTCCCACTTTAAGGCTACGTGGGGGGGGGGGGGGGGCAAAGTTCTTGTTGAAACAAATGTAAAACAACAACAAAAAGTGTTTTTCTCTGGTATTCACATCCTGATCAATGGTGATGAGCCAAGGAAGATTAGTACAATGATTCACTGTTTTCATGGTAGCTGGTTTTAATATTCTTCACACCTTTAAAATAATCACTCTTTAATTTGATTTGGAAATTATTGATGACCAGATGTAGATGCTAAATATTCCTCTGGTGGTAGCTTCTACACCATCTTAAAATATATCTGTGCTTAGAGGGCTGTCGCTAGTTCTCTTGGTTTTAATTGTTCTGCGTAAACTGCCTTGAGATATACAGCAGACACTATATAAATGATGCAAGGCAAATACTTTACCTTTATTGTTGCTTTTAATAGCAAGTGGTAAAGAGAGGATGATAGTTCTAAACAGTCTTTAAATGACATTGTAATAGTATGAGCAAAGAAACAAATTGGGCATGAGAATGCTAATAAAGTAGGAGAAGGAGCAGTGGGCAAAATAGACTTGTAATCCTCGACTTACAACAGTTCATTTAGTGACCATTCGAAGTTACAGTGGCCCTGAAAAAGTGGCTTATGGCCATTTTTAAAATCATTGCAGCATCCCCATGGTCACATGAGTAGAATGCAGCCGCTTGGCAACTAGCTCATATGTATGACGGTTGCAGTTTCATGAGATCCCCTTTTGGCAACTTCTGACAAGGTCAATGAGGAAGCCTGGTTCACTTAACAACCATGTTACTAACTTAATTGTGGTGATTCACTTGAAAACTGTGGCAAGAAAGGTGGTAAAATGGGGCAAAACTTGTTTAACACATGTCTCACCTAGCAACAGAAATTTTGGCCTTAATTGTAGTCATAAGTCAAAAGACCACCTGTAAAGCCAAATTAGATTTCTGGAAGTTGAATAAGTAAAATAGATACCAGAAAATTACCAAAGTTCCTGAATGCACATAAACCTCTCTAATCGCTTGCTCAAACAATTACAGGCGCTTGCTCAAAACAGGGCATATTCCTCCAAGGTAACTAGGAAGTAACAACCACAAAGTCTGACTTGTGCAAATCTCTACTTTATTAACTGTGTTGTCTCACTGTGAGCAGAAAATTTAATCCATGTTATCAATAATAAGAATGGCACTTGATATTATTGGCCAGCATTTATTATTTATTTGTATCCTCAAGGTAAAGATTGTTACCCCACCCTATTGTTCAAATAAACTTAGCTTAAACTGATCATGTGGTGTTCACTTATCAATTGGGTCATTGGGAGTTATCCCCTTCAGAGTAAGGCACATGAATGTTTACGAATCTCTTTTTTTATTATTATTAAAAAGTTTTAAAAAGTTTTACAAATGTTTTCCCCTCCCACCTCTGCCCAAACCCTCCCACCCCCAACTTCCCAGAGCAAAACTACGAATCTCTTTTTTGAGTTGACATATTTTGTTTTCCTCTTGCAGGAGCGGTTCAGGGACAGGTCTTTCCAGCCCTCCTTTGGCCACCCAAACAGTGGTTCCCCTCCAGCATTGCAAGATCCCAGAACTTCCCATTGAGAGGAGCATCTTGTTTGAACTCCAGCTCTTCTTCTGTCATCTTATTGCTCTCTTTGTCCACTACATAAACATCTACAAAACAGTCTGGTGGTACCCACCATCTCACCCTCCCTCCCATACTTCATTGGTGGGTATTTTATATCTGATTGCCTGTTTGCAAGATCTTAAAGTCACAATTATAAAACTAGAAAAAATACTGCTGCCTTAATATTGTGAGAGATGACATCCAAAGGCATCAAGTTGGAGAAAATGATTGCCCAAATTTCTTCTTAAAAGACTTCAAATAGTTCAAATACTAAACTTAAGAGTATAGAAATGTGATGTATAACGGGGTCTGCTGTGAGTCTTGGGGAATGTATAAAGGCTGCCAGTGAAAGTTATATTTTTCTTAAATCTAGTCTCTAAATTAATATTAACCTTCTTTGCCAGTGTTTCTCAACCTTGATCACTTTAAGATGTGTGGACTTCAATCCCAGAATTCTCCAGCCAGCTAAACCCTGTTCTATATTATTTGGGCTTAATCATTCTAAAAACTGTTAATGTTAATTTGAAAGGTCTTATAAAAAAGCAACAGCTGAAGAGGAGCCTGGGGCTGCACCCATGGGAGCATGCATGCTCGGGCCCAGCAACTACGTTGCAGCATAAACTCTGATGCACTTCATAAGATATGTCAACCATTATAATGAGAGGAAAGTTTTGTATACCTATGATCTGAAGACAGAGAGCAGTGGCAATGCCTTCCTGATACCCATTTACAAATATATAAATATATTTATATATTTATGTATATAAATATTCATTTGTGAGCTCAATTATATAGGCAGTATGATAAGAAATCTTTGCCGTCTGTGTAATCCAGTGTTTCCCAACCGTGGCAGCTTTAAGGGGTGGATTTCAAGTCCCAGAATTCCCCAGCCAATCATCCTGGTTGAGGATTTCTGGGAGTTTTTTTGTTTTGTTTTTTTAATTTGATTTATATGCCGCCCTTCTCCGAAGACTCGGGGCGGCTTACAATGTGCTCAGCAATAGCCTTCATCCTTTTGTATATTTATACAAAGTCAGCTTATTGCCCCCACAAACTGGGTCCTCATTTCACCTACCTTAGAAAGGATGGAAGGCTGAGTCAACCTTGAGCCTTGGCGAGATTCGAACCCTGCAGTAATTGCAGGCAGCTGGTCTTAATAACCAGCTTAATAACAGGGTGCCTTAAGAAGGATGGAGTTGTAATCTCCATCCTTCTTAAAGATGCCAGTGTTGAGAAACACTGTTCTAATCTTTGGCAAATAATTTCAAACTGTTTATGAATTCTACTCAGGTTTTTATTTGGTTGCTCAGGAACATTTATCTTGGAGTCAGTAACCAGGTATCTGAGACAGTCCCCTATGGAATTGGGGATATCCTTAATTTCAGGATGAAGTTCTGTTCTGAAAAAGAAGTCTATGTAGCCAGATACCTGAAAATCTGGAAGAGCTGAATAGCTGGAAGGCCAGAAACAGTGGGGCACCTTCTGTCTGTTTCTGGAATTGGTGCTATAATACTGTGTAATATATTATATAATAAGTAATAAGTGCTGATATAACTCCAACGGATAATTACATAGAATTGCAGAAAAAACAATTGGCAACCAGCCTGCCTTCCATAGAAGACCTGTATATGTGTGGGTCAGAAGGAGGGCTGAGAAAATACCAACAACCCCTCACATCCTGGACATAAACTGTTTCTAGTCTTCCCCTCAGGATGCCACTATAGGGTATTGGATACCAAAACAACTAGACACAGAGACTAGTTCATCACTTGAATACCTCACAGTATTGTCTCACAGTAATCCTCACAGTATTGTCTTGTGTCTTAAATATATTTAGTCATGTTGTATTGCTGTAGTATTATCTTTCTCTTCTTCTCTACCATCCCTCCTATTGGTATCCTTATTATGATTATTACTACTGTGTTGCTTTGCATGTACATTAAGAGCTTCTGCACCAGAGACAAATTTCTTATGTGTCTAATCACACTTTTGACCAATAAAGTATAAAGTAAGTAAAGTAAGCCAAAATATACAAGGCAACTCTCCTCATTTTATGTCTGGTTGTTCTTAGTGCCAGAGAAGGTCAGGAACAAACATGGTTAGATTCAGACATTGTAAATGTAAATTGCGTATTGAGCTATACATCTGCAAGGACATAACAGTATATGACAGTCATTTCAAAGACTTCCTTTGAATACAGCTCAGAGAAGCAGATACAGTTAGTCCTTGATTTACAACCATTCATTTAGCAAATTTTCAAAACTACGACACTGAAAAAAGTGGTCATCTTGCCTATGGCTTCACAGCATCCCCACAGTCACATGATCAAAATTTGGGGGCTTGATCAGCAGCATCTATTTGTGACTGTTGCACAGTCCCCTAAGTCATGTGATTGCTATTTACTACCTTCTCGGCCAGCTTCTGACAAGTGAAGTCAGTGGGGGGGAACCAGATTCACTTAATGACCATGTGATTCATTTAACAACAGCAATGATACACTAAGTAACCATGGCAAAAGAAAGCTTGTAAAATTGGGCATTATTCACTTCATAACCAGCTGCTTAGCAGTAGAGATTCTTATCCCAATTATGGTTATAAATCAAGGATTATCTGTATACGCACAGCTTTATTTTCCTATTTTTTTCCTAAGACTCTCAGGGAATTCTTACTGCTTTTTGGCATTTGTTAGATTTCTGTTCCTAGGTTAACCATAGTCTTGTCTTTCCTTCTTGCAGAATTTTCATCTCATTGATTTCAATGTTCTGGCAGTGACAACGATTGTTCTGGCAAGAAGATTGATAATTGCTATTGTGAAGGAAGTGAAAGAGGTAAAGTTGTGCCACTTGGGTCAGAGATGTGGGAAATTACTGCTTCCGATTATCCTTTGGCTGCTGCTTCTTATGTCACCAGCAACTCTGCCGTCAGTAACTTTCACTAGTTCCAGGAGCTTTCCACAAAATGCCTAGCCACGGGAAGGAAGTGTTGCCTCCATCCCACAAACAGTCAAGCACATCTGGGAAAAAATGTTCAGAAAAGGAAGGTTGGCTCTCTCGTGTTCCTGCTCCCTTGTAAGCTGTTGCTGGAGAAGGGAACAGTAGTCCTTGCTTAATGACTAGTCACTTAGCAACCATTCAAAGTTACAACAGACCCTCCGAAAACCCAGTTCTGGACCCAGTTCCAGAATTTTTGATGGCCATACACAGAACCTATGGTCACATGATCACATTTTGGATTCTTGGTAACTGGCTCACATGTACAGCTGTTTGCAGCATCTCATCACATGACTAATTTTCAGCATTTTTTGCCAGTTTCTGGCGTTTACTTCCGATTCCTGGCCAAAAAAAAATGCTGATTGGATAAAACGGATTTATTTAATGATCAGGATGTTCACTTAACAGCCACTACAAAAATGTTATAAAATTGGATGCAGTCACATGATGATCTGCTTGATGACTGCCATGAGTTATGATCATAATTCCAGGTTCAATTACAGCCATAAGTTGAGGACTAACTATAGATATTCAGCGGATGATCTCCCTTGAGAATATTTTTGGGCACAGCTGGCTAGCGGTGAAACTAGATTTAGCTCCTGAAGAACATCAGAGTTGCCCTGCCAGAAGCCACTTCCTTATGCACAAAATATATTGAACTAAGCATAGGAAAAGGCAAAATAGGCCCATTTTTGTCCTTTGCCACCCACCCCCATCAAGGAAAATTGACCAAGATCCTGCTGCCCACTCCAGTCTGGATGCCACCTCAGAGGCACACGTAACCCATCTAATTTCTTTCCAGGGATGATGGGATTCCAGACCCCCCCCCCCCCCGCAATCCAGATATTTGCCTTATATATTGCAATCCTAAGCATGTTTATTCAAATCTAAATTCAAATCTAAGTCCTTATAAATTGAGTGGGCATAGACTTGGGAATTACAGTCCCTCAGAAATCAAATCAGCACCTAGAATTCTGGAGCATTGTTCATTTTCCTCCTAACCAGAAGTATTGTCTTTTTCGGAGTATAAAATGCACCTTTTTCCCCCAAAAAAGAGGGTGAAAATCTGGGTGCGTCTTATACTCCGAATGTAGCCCTGCCCAGCTTCTCAAATGGAAGTTTCAGAGGCTGAACAAAACATCAGAAAAGAAGTTTCAAAAAAGAAGCCCCCAAACAGAGCTTCAGAGGCTTTTTTTCTGAAGCTCTGTTTCGGAGGCTTTCAGAGGCAGGAAAAAAAGTTTTTTCTGAAACAGTTCCAGAAGTTTCAGAGGCAGGAAAAAAAAGCAAGGCACACAGCTCACAACCAACAAACCTGTTGCTAATATTCACCTCTGGGTATTCCAGAAGGCTGATCCACCTGCCAATCAGCTTTTCTCTTATTTTCCTCCCCAAAAACTAAGGTGCGTCTTGTACTCCAAAAAATACGGTAGTCAAATCCTTGTTTTTTTGTTGTTGTTCCTTTAGGCTTCTCATACGGGAAAGGTCTCTTTGCCACGCTCCATCTTCCTTGTCACTATGCGCTTTGCTGTCCTAACTGGTGCAGGCTGGAGCCTGTGCCAATCTATTATCCACCTCTTCAGATCATACTCGCTCCTCAACCTCTTGTTCCTATGTTATCCGTAAGTACCAAAAAAGAGTGCTTGATTGTTCTTTATTATTTTTATGAATAACTCAACAATACTTCTTTCTCCTTCTGTGAGCTGAGTTGGACTAAGAGAGAGAATGATTGGCCCAAACTCACCCAGTCGGCTTTCATGCCTAAGGCAGGATTAGAACTCAGTCTCACGCAGTGGTGGGATTCAAATGTTTTAACAATCAGTTCTCTGCCCTAATGACTGGCTGTGTGGGCAGGTGGCTGGGTGGCCGTGGCCAACTCAGCTCAGAGACTGGACAGCCTTTTCTCTGAAATGGTATAGGGTCCTCCCTCCCCTCCCTCTCAAGGTCACTTCTAAGTGTTATTGTGTTATTCTGACACCTTTACCAGGTCCTCCACTCAGATTTTGGCATCCTCAGTTTTCCTGCCTGAGCAGGGGGTTGGACTAAAAGATCTCCAAAGTCCCTTTCAACTCTGTTATTCCTGAGCTAAGTAGCTAAGGCCCTCATTGGGATCCTCTTCGCTTTTGCTCCCTGAGGACTAATGAGCTGCATTCATTTTAATAAGATTTTTAGAAACCTGCAGATGAAAGTTCTTCATGTCTCCTTACCCTGAAGACCCAATTTCATTTGGAATTTAATACCAAGCTGATTGCCCTTTTGGCATTTCTCTTGATACTTCTCCAAAATGTACCCCCCAAAAGCCTGCTCCTCTCCCTCTCCCTCCCTCCCTCCCTCTCTCTCTCTCACACACACACACAATTTAAGCAAATTCCCTTGTCTTTGAGAGTTTAGAATCATAGGCTAGAAGAAGGTACCTTGGAGCTCTTATAATTCAACCTTCTGCTCAAGGCAGAAGGCCTCATACATACTTGCGGGTTCGCAGACATGCCAGCTTTGGCTGCAAGAACTGCAGGCAGCCTTCCCGGCCACACACGTCTTCCTCCTGCCACCCCATGTGAGGCGGGAGGCCCGAGAGAAAGCGCCTGGTCTGGGCACACAGCCCTCCACAACAGAGCCCTTCCCGGGAAGCAAAGCATGGTTTGGATAAACTGATCCGTCCTGAAGGTGAGCTCCAGAGGAGTGGTGGCAGCAGTGGCAGCAGAAGGCGAGCTCCATTTATTCATAGCTATTTCAGGTGCTTTAATCCATTTTTAGTCAGTAAGATAGCAATACCTCTCTTCCTTGCCTACTAAGTTTGCTTTTTTTCAGTGAGGAAATGGCAAAAAAAGGGGGAAAAATTATAAGAACCTTTATTGTCACTTTTTGTGAACACACTGGCACACATTGAAAAATGAAATTCTTATTATACAATATAATCCAATTGTAATGTTTCTCTTTGCTCATCCTTGTTCAAATCTTGTTGATAGACTTGTATATCTCCAAAATATATTGAGCCAGAACCTAGCTTTAACAAAATGTATTCTTTTACAGGTGGCCCCACTTAACAATGACTTGTTCAGCAACTATTCAAGCTTGTGATGGCACTGAACAAGTAGTTCTTACTAGTTCTCAGTGCTCAGTTTGCTGTCATGATGTTGCAGCCTCCAGAAGTCACATAATCATTAATTCTGACCTTTGCTGGCTTCTTACAAGCAAATTCAGTGGGGAAGCAGACAGGAAGTCTCAAATGGTGACCAAGTGACATCCTTGCTTCTTAATGATTGCTCTGGATTCCTTTAAGGACAGCCACCAGGAAGTGCTGGACCTGCCATTGCTAAGCTGTCACGTGATATCACAGTTTATGACTGCATTGCTTAGCGACAGAAATTCTGGTCCCAGATGATATCATTAACTGAGGACCACCTGTATTAAAGAATGAAGCATTTGTAGTCCTCCAAATGATTTTGGGTTTCCATTACTTTAATATCCAGTTGTTTTGGTCAGTGGCCAATGAAGACATAATTGTCCTCTTCTGGATATTTGATGACTGTATTTTAACAAGTTATTCTATCTACGCCAGAATAAGCATTGTGTTATCTTACTTGTAATTTCTTTAAATTACTATAAACAAATCTCTGACATTAAGCAGGCCACTTCCCAGTCTCTCGCTTGACTTGTTTTACAGTCTTGTTAGTAGAGGAGCAGATTCATGTTAGTTTCAGTAAGAACTTTAAAATGAATACCATTTAGATTATAAACTGCTCAGTGTTTGGAAAGTAACATGGACAATGACTATAACTTCATAAAAGTTACTTCAGAATTGTTCTCCTCTTTCAAGGTTTGGCATGTACATCCCCTTCCTGCAACTAAACTGCGATTTTCGTAAGAGCGGCTTCTTCTCTCCTGTGGCCAGCATTGGCCCTCGTGACACAGGAGATGTCAGCTTGCGGGGAAAGGACTACCTCTCTGTTCTCAAGGAGACTTGGAAGCAGCACACTCGGCAGCTCTACAGCATGGAGACTATGCCCACCCATGCCTGCTGTCTCTCCCCAGATCTGATCCGCAATGAAGTGGAGTATCTGAAAGTGGATTTCAACTGGCGCATGAAGGAGGTGCTGCTAAGCTCCATGCTCAGTGCCTATTATGTGGCCTTTGTACCAGTGTGGTTTGTGAAGGTAGGTGGTTGTGGACTGGGGCTCCTGCAGGACAATTCAGTTGTGGAGAGGGGAGGGTAGACCTCTCAGTCAAGGTTGGGCCAGTTCCAAAAAGGAATTGCTTCTCCCTTTCTAAAAGGGAATGGGCCCTTTTTCTGGAAGTTTTATTTATTTATTTATTATTTATTTATTAATTTTATTTCTATACCGCCCTTCTCCCGAAGGATTCAGGGCGGTGTACAGCCTGATTAAAAGCACAAAGACAGGCAAAATTTTAAAATTATTAAAATTATTAAATGATAGGCTCAATTTAAAACCCCAAATTTAAAATCCCATTTTTAAAAACCAAGTTACTCTTCTGTGTAGTTCAGAATCAGGAGGTTTTATCCTGTTCTGTTTTTCTTCAGCACCATAAATTTAGGGATCTCAGATATGGGTTGAGACCATGGCGTTATGACCCAGTCATGGAAAGGATGTCAGGTTTGATGTCTTGCTCAAACCCACCATTATTGAAAGTTAGTTCAACAGTTATTTTTGTGCCTTGGGCGAGGTGGTACAAATTTGTTTATTGTTTTAGAGCAGGGGTATCCAATCTTGGAAACTTGAGGGCTTATTTGACCTACTCTGGTCTCCAGAACCACCGTGTAATAATAAAGAACTTTAGAAGTTAGACAGCCTTGCTGGATCAATCCCAGTGCTGTAGACTTCCACAAATAATTCCCATTTCCCACTCATCAAAGAGCTGTCCTTTGGTTAACCAGGATACTTTGGGAAAATGCAAGAATAGTTTGGAAAGTACAACTGTGGTCCTCATTTTTTTTTTCCTGTTTGTTCCTGATCTCCCCTTGCTTTTCCACAGAGCACGCAGTATTACGACAAGCAGTGGTCTTGCGAGTTGTTCCTGTTGGTCTCCATCAGCACGTCCGTCATCCTCATGCAGCACCTGCTGCCTGCCCGTTACTGCGACCTCCTGCATAAAGCTGCCGCACATCTGGGCTGCTGGCAGAAGGTCGACCCTTCTCTTTGCTCCAATGTGCTGCAGCATCAGTGAGTGGCCTCCATCTTTCAGAAATCCATTTCTCTGTCCTTCTAGGCAGTCAGAAACTCAGGTTGTACGAAGCAGACTTCCTAAACTTGTCCTCTTTGAGGTTTAGGGTTCCCAATTCTCAGAATTGGCAGTTGCAGCCTGGAGGTACCAAATGCCGCATTAAGCAGTGGAAGGAAAAGGTAACATGTCTCTCAAGTTTGGTCTAATCTGGTGTCTCTTTTTTTAAGCAACATTTTAACCATTTTAAAAAGTCCAACTAGCTAAATGCTACTTGGGGCCTGACAAGCTGGCATAAAGGCCAAGTCCTTCTGCTCATAGCCTCTATTCCCTCTTTTTCCCATTTTCTATGGGGCTCTCCATGGCCCTCCTAGGATCCTTTAAAAAGCACCAACTAAATCTGAGGAGCCTTCTGGTACTGAGTCTACTGTGAAAGGCCCATAAATAATGTCCAACTTGGGGTGGGGAACTGGCCATCATAAAAAGAAGCTTTCTGTGACATTAGAAATTGTGCAGTGGCTGCACTTGTGTGCCATGTCTGGCCAGCACAGTCCTTTACTTCACAGGTATGTGTTCATAACATTAGTTCACTCTCTGTACTTTTTGTCTTGAAGAAGCCCAGCTTGTTTAATTTCGGTGTGTTGCTCTAAACTTGCAGGAAGTTATATCTCAATGCAATATAGGTAATCCTTGATTTATGACCATTATAGAACCTCTGCCCATCACGGTCATAAATCACGGTGATTGTAAAACGGGTCACCCATTTGACCGACCCAATTTTATTAACTTTCTATGCGGCAGTTATTAAGTGGCCGCCATGGTGGTTAAACAAATGAATGGTTCACTATGGGACAGTTTTGCCAGAAACCGGAAATGCTGGTTTCCTGCAAAATCTTCATAAAATATAGGCCTATGACTGCAGGATGCAGCAAAAGACTCTAAATGTGGGACAGTTCCCAAGTGCCCCGACATGTGGTCATGTGACTGCAAGGGAGCAGTTGTCAGAGTTTCAGACCAACGTTGTAAGTACCCCCAGTGGAGATTCACTGTAACTTCAAATACAGGTAGTCCTCAACTTACAACAGTTCATATAGTGACTGATCAAAGTTAAAATGAAAAAAGGGATTGATGACCATTGCAGCATCTCCACGGTCACATGATCCAAATTCAGATGCCTGGCTACTGGCTCATGTATGACAGTTGCAGTGTACCAGGGTCACGTGATCCCCTCTTGTGACCTTCTGACAAGCAAAGTCAATGGGGAATGCAGATTCACTTAACAACCACATTACTAACTTAACAAATGCTGTAATTTCACCTTTCAGCTCCAATCCAGGAGCCCTCAAACAGTCGCATTCACGACAAACCATTTTATACCAAATTTATATTTTGCTGATAAAGAAATAAAGGGAGACTAGTGTAGATCTATTTCAAGCTTTTTAGCTTTCATTCTGCCCAGCATATCCCAGTAAGAAAACAAACCCTGTGCTGCTTGGCAGTCCTCTCTCATCCCCCTTGGAAGTCAGTGCCACCAAACTGATGATTAGCAGCTGGGAAAGGCCCGGTTCCTCCTTCTGCTCCTTCCATCAGATGCCTGTTGAATATATTTTTCAGGTGGACGGACGAATGTCTGTGGCCACAGGGGGTGCTAGTGAAACACAGCAAAAACGTCTACAAAGCGGTGGGCCACTCCAACGTGGCAGTGCCTTCGGATGTCTCCCACTTCCGCTTTCACGTAAGCTGCTCTCCTTGTACAAACGTTGATGGTGGATGGCTGCCATTTTGTCCTGCCCTTCCTCCACAGTGGTTTGACCTCTAGTGACCGCATGAGTGCAGCCAGTGGTTTGCTAAGGGATTTTTTTTTTCCTTTTAAGCATCTTACAAGCCCCGGGGTTTCCTGCTGGTCTCCCAACCAGGAGTTAACCAGGCCCCATTTTGCTTAGCTTGTAGCCCAAAGGATTCTGGATGAGTGTTGCAGAGGCAGCTTTCGCCTATAGGCCTCTGAGCCTTCTATGAACAGAGGATGATGTTCTTTTCGTTGGCACTCCAGCCAGGAAAGCTATTACTGGGAATTTTCTGTAGCCTCTATTCCTTCTTTATTATTCACTAGCTGATAACCTGGCGTTGCCTGGGTATTTGTTTATCCCATTCCTGTATTAGACAGGAAGAGCAACTTCACCCTGAGCCCTGATTTCAGGGATAATTAAATTAATTACAAATGTTTTCCCTGTGCCCCCAGAAGCATCAAGTAAAATGATATCACCTTGTTGTTTTGCTAGCTGATCCATGATCATTTGGAGTGCTTTTTGTCTGATCTTGATTTAGAAGTGGCTTCCTTTCCACGATAGATGCACTAAGCTGTTCGACATTGTAGTTTTTTTCTCGTATGTAATCTGCATGAAGTACATCATGTCGATCTCATAGTGGTGCAGGCAGGGCGAGTTGCAGTAATGTTTTATTGATCATGGCCATACATTTGTCCTCAAAAATAATCAAAGCCTTGTTGAAAATGTCCAGACAAATGTAATTTCTAATGTTGGATTTTCCCCCTTACCAGAGGGAGCCCTCTTGTGGAGTACTGTGAAGACGTTACCATGGCAACTCCACTATGCTGTACAGTAGAAGCCATTTTAAGGCAGTCCAGCAGCAGCCATTTTAAGGCACAACAGGCTGTATCTTAACAGAACTCACACCCCGAGGGTTGTTAGGGGTGTTTTACCCCCACACAGTATTTCTTTCCAGAGAGTAAGTCATCTGTGTACCAAGTTTGGTTGAAATTGCTCGAGGCATTACAGAGTTATGCTGGAACACACACACACACACACACACACACACACACACAGCCATTTTTATATATTTAGATTTTAGGGTGTTTTTCAATTCTGAAGTTTGAACGTTAATTTAAAAGCATGCCAAGACGTTCATCATTTGCCAAAGAAGACAAAATGAGGAACTTAATTCTGCCATCACCAGAAAGGCTTGGCGGTAACTTTCTAAGAAGAGAGCCAGTGATGCCACTGTTAACAACAGGGAGTTCTTCAGAATTGGGAGTTCCAGGACTTCTCTTTGTGAAAATGAAAGCTGCCTTGCACCTGCATGTTGTGTTGACAAAAGGCTGGTTTTATCAGTAAACCTTTTTTCTGGGCTATTTGCCCATTACTCTTGTAGCTGATCTGAAAACCACAGGCTAGTTGGAGGATACTCTCCAATTGTTGACAAAAAAACCAACCCTGTCAGTAAACACAGTTGCCCATAGCTTAGAATGCGCCTTGGTATTCCTCTGTTGGGCACTGCCACGGTTCCCACAAACTTCTCTGTGCCCTTTTTCTGTGTTGTCATCCATAGTTTCTCAGCCGCACCCTGACAGCCAAGAGAGCAACACAGCACTGCTTAAATAAAAAATAATTTGTATTTTTAAGGGTTCCACTCCCCCAAAGTCCCATTTCCCTTTTGCAATTTTGTAAGATTGATGGTGAGAATAGCAAAAGATCTTATGAAGATTTGAGATATTTACTCTGAATTTTTAACTTTTTAGATTCTGTTTTGGTTTGACTAGTCCCTTTGAATGCTCACCAGAGCAAAACGATGGGGTATAAATAAAATAAAGTAAGAAAGGCGTGAATGTTAAATAATGCAATTTTACTCTGGTGCTTGGATTGGGGACATCCACAGTACCTTTGTGAAGTCCAGACCTTCACTGGGCACCAGGAACTGCAGGCTGTTCACCCAAAGGAACCTCTCTTCCCTCTAGTTTTTTTTCAGCAAGCCTCTGCGGATCTTGAACATCCTGCTCCTCCTCGAGGGGGCTGTCATCTTCTATCAGCTCTACTCACTGGTGGTCTCTGAGAAATGGCACCAGACCATCTCGCTGGCCCTGATTCTCTTCAGCAACTACTATGCTTTCTTCAAACTTCTGCGGGATCGCTTGGTGCTGGGGAAGGCTTACTCATACTCTGCCACCAGAGAGACTGATCTGAAGCTGAACTGAGGGCGAGTTGCAGAAGGTAACGGAGAACAGCAGCTCCGAGCATTGTTGAGGGCTACCCGAGACTGCATCGAGGGGCCCCTCAGCTGCCTGCCCTGCCCTACAGGAGAAGCGTTTCCTCACTGGGTCACGGAGCATGCTGGAGCACGGGGCTTGAGAATCATGCAGTCAGGCCGGCCCTGAGCTTTGTATGTCTTTTTTACCATTTCTTTTGGTTTGGTTTTGCTTTGGTAAGGAAAATATCTTATTTTTATACTCTCAATTTCTGTCAGCCTGTTTTGTGGAGCAGTAAGAGCTGTAACAACCACCCAGTCTTACGAGTATTTCTTGCTGGTGTTCTGGGCTGCCTGAGGGCTTGTTGGGGGTGTCTGCATTTGTAAGAATTTTCATCTTAGCAAAAAACATAAGGTCTGTAATCCGAACTGCAGTCCTTCCTCTGCTCTCTCCCCCAGCTTCCATAGAAAACAACCTAGCACTGTAGATTCTTGATGGCAGGCAGTCCTGTAAATCTTTACAGCAGAAAAGCGTTTTTTAACAGCTCCAGGAAACATTCTATTGTGTACATTTTTCCATCCTGAGTAGACAGTAGAGCAGGGTTTCTGAACTTCGGCAACTTAAAGATGTGTGAACTTCAACTCCGGGAATTACTCGTGTCTGACTGGGAAATTCTGGGAGTTGAAGTTGGCCTGGCAGCCAAGGTTGAGAAACACTTGCTGTAGAAGAAGGAATTGAAACTCTTGAAATGACTTCACCTAACACTTGGAGGGATGGAAGGGATTACCCTTTTGAAGAAAGAGAGGGGGGGAAAGGGAGGTATATAAGACTAGCAGTTTGACAGCATCTTTTCTGACTAATAAATGTTATGAAAAGGTTTATAAAACCACGAGGGATGCGAATGAACAAAGGTCACATGCACACTCTTCAGGAATTGCATTGTGTTCCCTGTGTCTCCTCCTGTGTAGCAGTTGCTTGAAACAAGAACCTTTGTGTGCAGGAAAAAGGCCTTAGATGGTTATAGAGCATCCTTTTTTTTTTTTTTTAATTTGATTTATATGCCGCCCTTCTCCGGAGACTCAGGGCGACTTACAATGCGTTAAGCAATAGCCTTCATCCTTTTGTATATTTATACAAAGCCAGCTTATTGCCCCCACAAACTGGATCCTCAACTTACCTACCTTAGAAAGGATGGAAGGCTGAGTCAACCTTGAGCCTGGTGAGATTCGAACTTACAGTAATTGCAGACAGCTGGTGTTAATCACAATGCTATCAGTCTGCTGAGCCACCAGGCCGTATATCCTTGCACTGAAGCTGTCCTATTAGTGGTTAAAAATTAAGAAATATAAAGGCAGGGGTAGTGGGGAGTTTCTTGCCAGCCAAATCTTTCCTGTTCACTTCCTTCTGTGGCCGGCCAGATGATGGACAAAAGGTGAGCCTAATAGCCATTGCTGTCTTCTATTCCAGTCATGGTCTCACTGTCGGTGCTGGGGTGAGCCCCAGTTGCTGGTCAGCTGATTTCCTCCAGGCCATCTCTTTTGTGCATTGCACACTTCCTAAGGGAATCCTGAGTAAAATTGTAAAGTTGCCAAGGTTGGAGACCCCTGATACAGGGTTTTATCTTTACAGTACAAAGGAACTTCTAACAGCTCCTGAAAACATTCTGTTGGGTACATTTGTGCATCCTGAGTAGATTGTAGACCAGCGTTTCTCAGCAGTGGAGTCATGGGACAGGTGAAGTCTGTCTGAACATCTGCCTCTGTATTTGCACATGGTTGGTGACCTATTGTAAATGCTTTTTCACTGCTTGGTCTTTAAGTTAAGGAGGGGTGTCCAATTTTGCCAACTTTAAAACGTGTGCACTTCAACATGCTGCCTAGGGAATTCTGGAAGTTGAGGACCGCAAGTTACCAAGGTTGAACACTTCTGTGTTAAAGGTATGGACTGTTGCCAGCTTCGTTTGCTAAGAAAAGCACAAAGAGATATTTTTTTAAAAGCTGTGGTCTCGGTCACTCAAGAGTTCGACTGTCCTACGATTTCTAACAGACATTCAGGAGAGGATGCTACCAAAAGTACTTCAAAATGGAAGAGAGCACTTTTAATGGGATCAGATTTTGTTGTCTTTCAAAACCAACATTCACATTCTGGAGGTAAGTAGGGAGGAAGGAATAAGTTGTAATGATTCATTAAATTAAGCCTTTTTCCAGTTGTACAGAGAATCCTCGACTTATGATGACAGTTGGGACCAGAATTTCTGTTGCTAAGCAAGGCAGTAGTAGTCTCACCTGATTTTACAACATTTTTTGCCACAATAGGGCTAAATGTTATTGCACTCCAGGATTGTGCCTTGCTGTACAGAGTTATAGAGGTGCTGTGGTTGTCACCTGTTTATTCAGATATGTATCCTCAAAATCTCCAAAGGACCCACTTGTTCTTATTTTCTGTAAGAGAATGAAAATACCCATGATTGTGTGTATTTTTAAAACAAATCACGTGTACCAAAATTTCATTGGTTTAGGGTAGTTTTTCCTTTCCTAATGGTGCTGGGCATAAACCTGCACAGAAAGTCCTTTGTCTAAATCTGCTGATAGCCACAGGACTTGCCTGTTTTGCCCTAGTGATGACAGAGCACAACTGGCAGCTACAAAATGCATTCCCTGCTTTTGAAGTAACAATTTAGACATTCTTCGCATTGGACAAGGATGCTCGTAAGGAAACAGCCCAGAATTTGAGATATAAATTGGGCAAATCTAACTGTAGATTTTTCTTCGCTAACTGCTGCCTCAGGGTCCTTTTGCTGAAAGGCTTTGGGCTGTAGTTCAGGCTATGCTGAACTACAAGGAAGGAAGATCTAGGGCAGGGGTCTCCAACCTTGGCAACTTTACGACTTGTGGACTTCAACTCCCAGAACTCCTCAGCCAGCCATGATTAAAGATTACCTGTACCAAGAACTACCTGTATCATTGGATTGGGAAAAAAACCGAACAGTGGTGTAGATCAGTGTTTTTCAACCTTCAATGCTTTAAAAGGTGTGGATGTTAACTCCAAGAATTGTCCAGCCAGATATGACGAATTCTGGGAGTTGAAGTCCACGAGTCGTAAAGTTGCCAAGCTTGGAGATCCCTGATCTAGAATTTTATCTTTACAGCATAAAGGAACTTCTAACAGCTCTCGGAAACATTCCGTGGGGTACATTTGTGCATCCTGAATAAATTGTAGAGCAGTGTTTCTCAACCTTGGTAATTTTAAGAAGTGTGGACTTTTAATTCTCAGAATTCCTCATGTGTAGCTGGGAAATTCTGGGAGTTAATATCCACACCTCTTAAAGCTGTGAAGGTTGAAAAATACTGATCTACACCATTGTGGGGTTTTTTTTTCAAACCAATGGTATAGGTCCATGTTGGCGAACCTATGGAACGTGTGACAAAAGCGGCACACAGAACCATCCCACGAGGAATGCGCGGCCTCGCTGGCTCCTCCCACGTTCCTGTGCACACACATGTGCCGGTCAGCTGGCTGTTGCACGTGCAGGAGTTGCAAAACCCAGAAGAGCGGCGTTCTGTCGCACATACACAGGCCAGCAGCCAAACTTCCAGGTTTACGTTGTGTGCATGCGCGATGGCCAGCTGTTTGTCAGGGGCATGTCCGTGCCGGAAACTAGATGTTCGGGTGCTGGCTCGCACATGCGCGACAGACTGCCGCTCTTCCGGGTATTGGCGCACACGCGAAGGCCAGCGGGGCCGCACATTACTCCCAGGATGGTTTCGCGTGCCATTTCTAGCACACGGTGACGTAAAAGGTTAGCCATCACTGTTATAGGTAGTCCTTGATTTACAACTTTTTATTTAGTAACTTTTGAAGTTACAAGGGCTCTGAAAAAATAACGTAGGGCCATTTTTCACACTTATGACTGTTTCAGCATCCCTACGGTGGTGATGTGATCAAAATTCCAGCGTTTGGCAACTGGCATGTAGTTATGACAGGGTGCCGGGGCCATGCATTCCGCTTTTGCTACCTTCTGACAAGCAAAGTCAATGAGGAAGCCAGATTCACTTTACAATCATTACTAATTTAATTGCAGAGATTTCATTTAAAAACTCTGGCAAGAAAGGTTGTAAAACTGTCTCGCTTAACAACAGTAATTTTGGGCTCAGTTGTAAGTTGAGGACTACCTGCATTGATTCACATCTTGGTTGTCTATTGCCGAGTGAGCATCGGCAAAAGACTTCTGGCAAACCAAGCAAGGGGGAGATTTTGCCTTGATGGATGGCAAAGTTCCGTCATGGCGGCTCTTTCAGAAGTGGCTTCTAAACAAAAGCAGGTATGCAGCCAATTGCTGATGGATGTTGGCAAAAGGTGGTGTCTGCAGCAGCTGAGCCTGAGTTTATGTCCAAGGTAATTAAAATAATCCCAGCCTGCTGAGCCTCTCTGGCCTTAGTGGTTGAGTTTCCTCATCCTGCCCTGCGGCTGCTTCGTTTTGTGCAGTGGCAGAAATGACCCTCTTGCTAAAAGTGTAGCAAAAGAGGAAGCTGCATTTATAGCTTGTCAGCTCTTTAAGGAGACAACATCAAACAAGTCTTGGAAGGAATGGCAATGCAATGAGAGTGTTGAAACAGAAAGCTGTCAGTCTCTACTTCGACTTACCCCTACTAACCCAAAGGTATGGACTTTTTCTTACACGCTCTAAAGACGCAGGACTCAGATAATATTTTCTACCATGGCTTGAAGTTCCCCTCTTTTCCTGAATCAGCTCCCCTCCCCCCTCCCATTCCTTCATATAATCTCTTAAACTTTCATTAAATGTAGGTCTACCATGTGTGGGCGGCAAGATACCTTTGCTGCGAGCTAATGGTCATTCAAAATTTTGTAACCCAGATTCGGTAGCTCCAGTCAGATACCCATCTTGACTTGGCAACTAGCCCTCTCCAGAAGACACCCTAAGGGTTCTTGCCAATTACACCAAGCTATAAAGCATTTTGGCTATTGGTGATTAATTGATCAAGAGAGACCAACTGTACAATGTTTTTAGTGTGAATTTATTTACCGTATTTTTTGTTGTGTAAGACGCTCCGGACTATAAGACGCACCTACCTTTTTTGGTGAGGAAAACAAGAAAAAGAAACCTGCCTCTGCCTCCCAGCAATTTTGCCTTGTTGCAGCAAACGGCAAATAGCCTGCTTTACTTTCATTTTCATTTTTAGCATAGCTTGATTAGCACAAGAAACAAAAAAATCTGCTCCCAGCAATTTACCTCCTTGCAGCAGCAGAGGCCTGCGCAAAACAGCTGAGAGTCGGGTGGCCGATCCAATCAAC